TTTGTCTGTGCCCACCCCGTCCCGGGAGCCCTGGTGCCAGCCGTTTGTCTGTGCCCACCCCGTCCCGGGAGCCCTGGTGCCAGCCGTTTGTCTGTTCCCACCCTGTCCCGGGAGCCCTGGTGCCAGCTGTTTGTCTGTGCCCGTAGCATGGAAGAGTGTGAAGCGCTGTGCACCCGACTTGCCATCATGGTCAATGGACGGCTCCGCTGTCTGGGCAGCATACAGCACCTGAAGAACAGGTGGGGTATGGGGGCGGCCTGGGGTGGGTGCCATGGGTGTGGGGTCTGCAGGCAGCTGGGGATGGTGACGTTGGGGCTTCTGGGTCCATGGGCTTGTCCTCCCAGGTTTGGAGATGGCTATATGATCACGGTGCGGACCAAGGTCAGCCAGAATGTGAAGGATGTGGTGCGGTTCTTCAACCACAACTTCCCGGAGGCTGTGCTCAAGGTGGGTGCTAGCTGAGAGGTGGGGGCGGGGAGGGGTGGGGCAGCCCTGACTCCCGCGTTCCTCCCCCCCCAGGAGCGGCATCACACAAAGGTGCAGTACCAGCTGAAGTCGGAGCACATCTCGCTAGCCCAGGTGTTCAGTAAAATGGAGCAGGTGGTGGGTGTGCTGGGTATCGAGGACTACTCTGTCAGCCAGACCACCTTGGACAACGTGAGTGATGGACACCACCTGCCCACCCCACCTACTCACCTGCCTGCCGCCCGCTCACCTGCCTGCCCTGGCCACCAGGTGTTTGTGAACTTTGCCAAGAAGCAGAGTGACAACCTGGAGCAGCAGGAGACAGAGCTACCCTCCGGCCTGCAGTCCCCACTAGGCCGCCTGCTCAGCCTGTTCCGATCAAGGCCTGCCACCACCGAGCTCCGGGCACTCGTGGCCGACGAGCCCGAGGACCTGGACACGGAGGATGAGGGCCTCATCAGCTTTGAGGAGGAACGGGTGAGGACTGCCCACCAGGCTGGGCCACTGGGTCAGGGTCAGGGACTGTGGGGAGCTGGCTGTGGGGGTACTGCTCCTGAGAGGGCCCCACACAGATGCCCCATAGGCCCCCAGCTCAATGGAAATGGCGGAAGACGAGACTGAGGCAGAGTGGGGGGCAGCAGACAGAGACTGAGGCGGAGTAGGGGGGCAGAGGGGAGAGATTGCACAGGCGGCAGGCAGGGTAGGGTGGAAATGGGCTAGTGCACTCAGCCAGCTGAGAGAGGTCTGGAGATGAGGCAATGCAGACTTGAGAGAGGATCGGGTTAGGATTGGGTCAGCGCACCGCCTGTTGGGGGCAGCAGGGTTCTCAGGACAGGGGCTGGGATGAGCCTCCTAGGAGGACCCTCCCAAGCCCAACCCACTTTCTGTTGCCAGGCCCAATTGTCCTTCAACACAGACACACTTTGTTGACCATTGGGAGCTAGACCCAGTCCGGCGGTGGCCGAGGCCCCCAGTGCCCACCCATCAGGCCTTGGAGTGGGGATCCAGGACCCACGGGTTTTGTCCCCTCTAGCCTGCCGCCCCCCCCGACCCCACCTGTGGTCTCTGCAGCCACCCACTCCTGATTGTGCCAAAGGCCGGCCTGGCCACTGGGCTGCACACCCCTCACCCTGCTTTGCCTTAAAGCCTTGGGGTCCGGCCTGGACCCCTGGCTCTGCTTCTGCCCAGCTCTGCCCACCCAAGGGCCAGGCCGGGCCCCCCAGGCTGCACCAGGTCCCCTGTCCTGTCCTGTCCGGCAGCAATCCTGACCTGACCTGGGCCTCGGATGGGGGCACCCGATGGACCAGCCTCACTATTTATTTTGCTCTAGGGAGAGGCTCTCTCACTAGCTCTCCAGGGGTTGTTGGCTGATGGCTTGGGCCAGGAGGGGGCGGCCTGGTGGTTGGCGGGAAGGGGAAAGGGGAGGAATGAGCTGCTGGCCCTGCCCTCCCCTCCAGCTACACTGCTCCCCACCTGGCTTGGCCCCGCCACCTGCTCCAGGAGCCAGTCTGTACATAGCGCACAGATGTTTGTTTTAAATAAAAAAAAAAAACAAAACAAAAAACCCAAGTGAAATCTGCTGAGCCTTGTGTGGTTGTGTGTGTGTGTGTCTTTTGGGGTGGAGACGACCACCAGCTGGGTTGAAGCCCCACCCCAGGCCGTTTCCTGAAGGTGGCAGAGGTGGGATGCAGTGAGTCACCCCCACTGCCCTGATGCTACAAGTGGGGAAACTGAGGTAGGGGCCACTCTCCCCTCCCCTTGAGCACATGGCCAGCAGGAGCAGGGTGGGAGCTACTCCGAGCTGCTCACCCAGCCCAGGAGGTCCACCTCTTGTCTGAGCTGGACTGGCCCTGTACCCTCCGGGTCCCAGGGGCCCCCAAGCTTTGATGTGTCCATAGGGAAGAGCCACATATTGGATCACCTCTGACAGGATCCTGAGGGCATGGGGAGGGTGATGTCCAGTTGAGACTGAAGTTCGAGGAAGAGCCCATGCAGAGGCCTAGAGGGCGGATGTGGAAAGTCTTATCCTTAAATGTGTTCCCAGCACTTGCACGTGACCCTGTTTGAAAATGTCTGCAGATGTTACCATGAGGTCAAACTGGGGTGGGGTCCTGACTCAACATGCCCGGTGTCCTTCCTGTACAAAAAGAGAGGAGACACTGTGACAAAAGGCTAGCAGAAACCCAAGTGACCACCTCCCCAGCCTTGGATGAAAGAGGGGCTTGGCCGACGCCCTGAATTTGGGCTTTCCACCTCCAGCACTGTGAGAGAATCTCTAGGAGATTCATCATCAGCATCTCTAGAGGACAGACAAGCAGCTCAGGGGGGACTATGACGGGCACGGAAGTCCCTTAAGAGATTGTCAGGATGGTGACACACTGCGGATGGGGCAATGGGAAGGACCCACGGGCCAGAGTGACTGATGCAGGTCACCTTGGCTTCCTGCAAGACATTCAACTGTGGCCACCCAAGAGCAGCTGGAGGGGTGTTCTGGAACCCAGAGACTGGTCCCAAAGACTGATGCTGGGGTCACTGGGGTGTACTACAAACCGCGAGGACCCCTCCCCCACCCTCTGAGCGGTGGTGTCAATTAACCGTCAGCCAAGGAACTGAATCCTGCCAGGAAGAAGATCCCAAGGTCCAGAAAGGCCCACTGCCCACCCAACAGCCAGACGGTAACATCCAGACCCTGAGCTTAATCCTAGCTACACCTGAACCACTGACCCAGAGACTGTGAGATGAATGGGTTTCTTTAAACCAAAAACCAAACCTGCTGTTGTCAAGTTGACTCCAACACATAACAACCTGGTAGGACAAAATATGAGGGTGAGTCAAAAATTATCTGCACTCGGGCTGTAGAATTAATTTAATCAACTTTTAGGAAAGGCAAGTACATCATTTTTCAACATAATCTCCTTGCTTTTCAATACACTTTATCCATCTGTCAAGAAACTTTTGTCTTCCCTTATTTAAAAAGTGTTTTAGGCTGAACTGTGAATGCACCGCTGTCTTCACTTCTTCATCAGAGGTGAATCTTCATCCTTGAAGGGCTGAATTTAGGGGACCAAACAGGTGCAAGTCCAATGGACCAAGATCAGGACTACAGGGAGGATGCTTTAATACCTCAAAAGGAAGTTTTTGCAGAGTGTCAACAGTGTAGGCGGAGGTGTGTGAACGTGCATTGTCATGCCAGATCACAGCGTCCTTGGAAAGCAGGCCTCTGTTTAATCTGATGTTTAGGCTTCAGCTCTGCAGTGAGCATCTCACTGTAAGGAGCACTGTTGATGTTGAACCTTTTTCCTGACAGTGTGCCAATATTGGCCCTTGAGAGTCCCAGAAAGCTGTAAGCATCAATTTTCCTAGCTGATGGTGGATTTTTGAACTTTTACTTGGTGGGCAATTGAGGATGTTTCCATCCATACTCTGCTGTTTACTCTCAGGTTGGTAGTGATGAATCCAGGTCTTGTCACAAATAGCAGTTTTTTTAAAGAAACTTTTGCCTTCTTTCAAGTCTCGGTCCAGATTTTGTCCGGCATCTGCTGAAGTGCTTCTGTTTCTGTTTGGTGAGCTGTTTCGGTACCCATCTGGCATAAACCTTTGGATTATTTCATAGGCCCACCTAACCCACTCCCACTCGTCTCCTCGACAGAGCCAGTTCATGTTCACGCTCAATGTTGGCATCAGCCAAGGGCATGGACGGGAGTTTCAATATAACCAGAGAGAAGAGAATTTTGACTCACCTTCATAGAACTGCCCCACAGGATTTCTGATACAAATGCTTATGGAAGCAGATTGCCTAAATTGTCTCTCCTGGAGTTGCTGGTGGGTTCAAACTGAGACCTTCTAGTTAGCAGCTAAGCGCTTTAACCCCATGCCACCAGGACCCCACTCGGTCACATTTGTTGTTGTTAAGTGCTATCGAGTTAGTTTCGACTCATAGCAACCCTGTATGTGACTTCTGAAGAGCGGCTAGTGGATTTGAAACGCTGGCCTTGTGGTTAGTAATCCAGCATTTATCCTACAGTGCCACACCAACGCTCTGTGGCTTTAGGAGGATAAATTTGCAGTGGTGTTATTGCAGGTGTGGAAAACCATAATGTCTGCCCCAACTTCTTATCTCAAAAACTGTTGTTGTTGTTGTTAGGTGCCATCGAATCGGTAATGACTCACAGAGACTTTATGCACAGCAGACTGAAACACTGCCCGATCCTGGGCCAACCTCACAATTGTTGCCACGCTTGAGCTCATTGATGCTGCCACTTGGCCAATCCATCTCGTTGGGGGTCTTCCTCTTTTTCTCTGACCCTCCACCTTATAAAACATGACATCCTTCTTTAGTGACTTGACCCTTCTGACAATATGTCCAAAGTATGAGAGATGAAGTTTGGCCATCTTGGCCTCCAAGGAGCACTCTGGCTGCACTTCTTCCAACACAGATCTGTTGGTTCTTTTGGCAGTCCATGGCACTTTCAATATTCTCCTCCAACACCATAACTCAAAAGCATCAATTCCTCTACGGTCTTCTTTATTCACTGTTCAGCTTTCTCATGCATATGAAGTTATTGAAAATACCATGGCTTGGGTCAGGCATACCTTAGTCCTCAAGCTGACATCTTTGCTCGTCAACACTTTAAAAAGGTCTTGTGCAGTGGATTTGCCTAATGCAATACGTCATTTGATTTCTTGACTGCTGCTTCCGTGAGTGTTGATAGTTGATCCAAGAAGAATGAAGTCCTTGACATCTTCAATCTTTACTCCATTGATAAGAATGCTGTTTATTCAAAAGCATTAAACCCTTAGAAAAGCTTCCAGAAGAAGGCAAAGGCATACCCTCCATCCATATTCACCAGCGGTTGGCACTCCACTTGCTTTCTCCAAGTCGCTCGATGTTGTTGTTGTTGTTAAGTACCATTGAGAGTCGATTCCAACCCACTGTGACCCTGTATAGGGTTTCCAAGGAGCAACTGGAGAGTTTGAACCACCGACCTTGTAGTACAAATGACTTTGCAGTCTGACACATTAGCCCACAGCGCCGCCCCAGGACTGTACCTCCTAGGTAGAAACCTCTATTTGTGTGTGCTGACCCATTTGAGTGTACGAGCTGCCTCATGACCCTTCAGCCCTGATCTTTCAGCCTCTCTTTGAAGAGCAGGGACCTCTCCAAGTTTACCAAGGACACAGTACTGCCTCCAGTCCCCTCAGCTGCCCCCAGGATGTCCCTGATAGCTTTCTTCTTTTCCATCAGGAATCACTCACTGCATGTTCTTGTCCTGATCTTGTGTTTCCTCTATAAAACTCTCTCACATTTTCTTTCTTCTTTTTAACTCATCCCAATGCTTTTAGCAGTTAAACAAAATCTTAAAAGTTAATCAAATCAGTGCTCTCCTACAGACTGTTAGCCAAACCAGTTCTCGGTTAAAATCTGGCAAGGCCTTCCACACATGAAATACACACAGTGAAGTGCACAGATGCACCAGCGAACTGATGTGGTCTCAGTGATCTGTGTAAGAAGGAACAGGAAACCGCTATAAATCACAATCAATAAGGGGCTGATGTAGAAAAACAACTTTTAAGATTCAGTGTTTTGTGGGAGATGTGATACGCAGAGGATGGTCTGATGTTGTGCTTGTTAAGTGCTGCCCAGTCAGTCCTGACTCATAGTGACCCTGTGCACAACAGAACAAGACGCTGTCCTGTCCTGGGCCAACCTCACAATCATTGTACCACTTGAGCCTGTTGCTGCTGCCCTGATGTCAATCTGTCTAGTTGGGGGTCTTCCTCTGTTTGCTGACCCTCCACTTTACCAAGTATGATGTCATTCTCCAGGGACTGGTTCCTCCTGATAATATGTCTGAAGTATGAGAGACGAAGTCTGGCCATCCTGGCTTCTGTGGAACCTTCTGGCTGTATTTCTTTTAACACAGATTCAT